TAAGGGATGTTAATCATAATATTTTATTTCGCTTCCACACTTACAATTTTACATATGCGTTTCCTTTTAATTTCCGGAGCCGTTACACTTCACCAGTATTTTTTGGCCAATTAACTGATCTTTTTGCTCTGATTTGGCCATAGGTGAGCTTAAAATCGAATTTCGTGTAAAAAGAGAAGTTTTTACCTTTTTTGGCGATCGGAAAGGGTTCTGGTGCGACGGCGTGTGGCGGCGGTCGGCTCCCCGGCAGCTGGATCTTCTCCGACAAGGGGTTCTGGCGGTTAGGGTTAGGGCTTGGTGCAGATGGGGGTTATTTATATTCATCCGCTTTTGATCTGGACCGTCGATCGCGTTTGATCTGAACCGTCCGATTGCGATTAAATAGGGAGTGAATCTGAGCTGTTCATCACAATCCTATATCGACCGTCCATCATGATTCTCTCTGAACTGTCCGATCGCGTTTGGGAGGGAGCGCATCCAGACCATCTGTGTGCGTGGGAACGGACCTTAGTCGTTCGATCACGGGCACGCAGATCGCCCACGTAGCCTCCCGCGTCAGCGTCTCTACCACTTGGCGCATCCTGGTTAGTCAGGACTACTGACCGAACGTCTGACGTGGCGAAACTTCCAAAACTCAAATTTTCTCCATTTTTCTCCAAAATTATTTTCAATTTAATTCTTTATCAATTTTATTTTATTTTTATTTTAAATAAAATAAAATAAATTAATAAAAATTATATTTATCTTTTGTTTAATTTAAAAAAAAAATTTGTGGGTGTTACATTTTAAGTGTTATATTTTATATTATGATGTTTATTTTTAATGTTTTATCAATTTATAATAAATGATAAACAACTATATATATATATATATATATATTCGGGAAAAGTGATAATGATTGATTAAGGTTTATATAACAACTCTTGTTCATATATGACAGTTCTTGTTCATGGCGGCCGGTTCAACATTAATAAGAAGCGTCTTTCTTGGGGGCTATAAATATTTATACATAATATAACAAGTGAGTTTAGTTTGCGGCACTTTACACCTTTGTCCTACCATTATGTAAAGCTTTTCAGCAAATGCTCTCGCCCACTTTAGAGACTTCAAATATATCCTCCGCAAATATTATTTAGTTAAAATATTGTATCTTTTTTTATATTATTATTGATGTATATTTATCATTTAATTAATAAAATATAAAAAAATTTATTAAAAAATATAATTTACTTTTATAAAATAATTTAAAACAAAATTTTTTCTTTTGAAATTTGTGAATATTCAGTAATAATAACAGTTTTATGTTGAGTTTGAATTAAATTTTAAGCGTATTCAGAATATAACTGATATAGAACTGAAATCTAAACTAAAATAATAATTATATTTTTTTACCTATTTCAAATTTAAATATTTTAATAATTCTTTATTTAACATGTAAAAGTATAAAATTTGATTTAATCATGGGCAATATATATAAATTGTGATTCTTTTCTGAATAAGTAAAATTTGAGAATTGAACAATAGTAAAATACATTTTAATAAAAGACAAGTTAAAAAGAATTTGGTAAAATTTTTGAATATAATAATTTTTTTTACCATTCTCATGTGTGTGTATATATATATATATATATATGTACATGCACTTTATATACTATGGCATATTGACATGAGATAAAACAAAAAGAAGAGAACAAGTCTTCTAAGGTCCAACAACATCTTTCATTGTCAATCACAAACAACAAAGATTCCTGTGGTTGCATTTTATATCATGGAAATAAATAAGAATAAAATAAATCTAAATCAAAAATAACTTTTTAAATGTTATTTTATTATTTTATCTCATTCTATCTATTTTAATTTTTTTTTTTAAAAATTTAATCACTATAAAATATTTTTTTTAATAGAAAATAAATTTATTGAAATTTAATCGGATTTGATCACGTAATACCACATACGTATTAGTGAATTATATGCCGTTAACTTTTAATTTATAATACACTCGTAAAACAAAATTTAAATTTTTATTTAGATAAAAAACAAATATCTTAATTATTAAACTTCTGTATTAGCTTTAAATCATTTTTTTTAGTTGATTAATATATAAATTTGAGAAATAAACTCTATAAAAATCATGAATTTGTCTCCAAAATATATCACTAATCAATACAACGAGTCAATCTACTAGTAAAGCTTATGATCATATATAAATTTTTGGTCATGCAGCCTCGAAGTTCTATATCCAATTTGCAGATCCACTCATCTTGGAGCTTTTTTCGTGGAGGGTGGCAAATAGCCTTTGGGGAATTAAGAAATTCATTAGATTAGATAAAGAATATTTTAATCATATATAAAAAGTTTATGTTATGATCGGGTTTCATATCATAGTTAAATCACACATGTATTTTATTTAAAAATTATAAATTTAAATATAATTAAATATATAAAATTTATTTTTTAATAATATATTATGAATTAATAGTAATTGACTCATAATATTTGATTCAGTATAATATAAAAAATCAATTAAGTTAGGTTCGTTCTAATAAGTAATGATATATCTGGACTAAAAAATAATATTATGTGATGAATAACTTAAATGATCACAACAGATAAAAGAAATCCGATTTAAGTTTTTTGGAAATTAGTAGTTTGGATTAAAAGTTGTTAGGCCAATTTGTTACTGTAATTTGGGAGAACATTTTTAATGATTTATAGGAGTTATAATATATTAATTTCAATTCAGAAACATTAATATAATTAGAATTTAATATATTTTTTTATAAAATGTATATATATATTTGAAAATTCAACTAAGAATTTCCCCATTTGAACGGAAAAGGAAAAATAAATGGAGGCATAAAGTTATTGGGTTAATAACCCAAACTCCAGCCCATTTTCAGGACAATATCCGGCCTTTAGATTTCCAATTCATGTGCAGCTCAAGAAATTTGAACCATCTAAAAAAGTATTTAAAAAATAAAAAATAAATAAATTAATTAAAAGTTAAGTGAAAATTTTAATCCACTGTTACTACTTAAATAAAGTAATTTAATTGTCATGATGTATTAATTTAGTTTAGAAATGTAATAAACTCACTAAAATTTACTTCAACTTAGTTATTGCAACTTCGTTATAACAGTGAGTTAAGTACGTGAATTCACTGAATTGATAAGTTAAATATATAATTCTACTAAATTAAATATTATAAACTGATTATCACTAAAATCATATTACGCTCATAATGTTGAATTGAGTAAGATTTAAAATCGTGACTATTAAATAAAATACAAATATTTTAATTATCAAACTATAATTTCGTTAGAAATCAAAATTAGAAATGGCATTGTTGAATATATGTGGTTGGTAATTTCAAAGTTTTTTCATATTCTTAGCCCTCCTTTAATTTATGAAATGATAAAATGAGAAAAAAAAAAGTAACTGTCTAAAAAATAAAAAATTTTACATAATTCATTTGTAAAATTCACACTAATTTTTTGAGTAAAAAATGCAGTTATTTAGAAAATCATAAAATCAATATTACATCAATTTTTTAAATGTAAAATTCAAATAATATATTGTAAATTCTGTCAAATGAAAGAGAGCAAGTAGAAGAAATTCACTCTTTCAAAATTAAAGCAATTACAAACTAATGAGATTTTTCTCATCTTATTACACCAATTCAGGGGCTACATATATAATAACTCTTTACAAAGATCAATCAACCAAAATTTAATATAAAAAGAAAAAGAAAAACCCAATTACAAATTGCAGGAACATAAACATTACTTAATCATAGATTATTTTAATTTTTTAGGCTCATCATTTGTTGGGTGTTTTTATGAAACCCACATGTGATGAATTAGAAACCTTTGTAAGGGTTAGCAGATCATTAGCAATCCAGCATCTTGAAACTTCTCTGTGGTAGAAATACCCTAAACACTTGCAGTCTCTGCTACATTTCTTCTCGCAGTCAGCCTCCTTCACTTTATCTCCCTTGTTGAATTTGCTCATGAAATGGTCAACTCCTTCAATTTTGTAGTAATGGAAATCACTCGGTTTACAAGAAGCCAACTTCTTAGCCTCACAGTTCTTGCTCCAACCAAGCAACCCATTAGGGGACGGACAGGCGACACACTGGCTGTCCTCACAGACTCCGAAACTCCCACATCGTTCAGGTAATTGACACTCGGTGTCCCAGAGGAAAGAAGGCTCTCTTTTGAACATGGTGAAGGTTTCCTCCCAGGCTCCATTATCGACCTTGTTGTAAAAAGTGAAGAGCTTTACAGTCCCATCAATCCCAAGTCTGAGGAATGTAAGTGTGCTATTGTATTTGGGTCTGGCTAAGATCGGACCGCCGCCAAAACCTGTGTTGGATTCTTTTAAACTGAAGTCTAAAATCCAAGCGAAATTCTCATCTGTTTCTGGCGAGCTAGTGAGTGTTGCGTTTGCCAAGATGCCATTTTTAGAAGCAGAGATGAAAGATGATGTGAAATAGACGAGGGGATTAAACGAGTTTGGACTCTTGAAATACAAAGCTACTCTTTTGGGTTCCAACACTAGACTATAAGCTCCGTTAGCGTTGACTTTTTCTGATGCGCGGCTGACCAGTTTTGTGACACCACCGAGACGAAGAGACTGACCCACTAAGAGAGTATCAGTTGGGGAATCAAAACTCTGCCAAATGAAATTACCCTTTGAGTCGTGGAGCACCATGTTGCCATTTGAGAGCAGTTTGAAACCCACAACACCTTTGTTGGCTGTGTTGGTTTGCCAGGCGATTGTGCCATCGGCGTCGGCGAGGACAAGGTTACCGTCGGTGCCGAGAGAGAAGGTGGCGTTTTCGCCGACGGGTCGGCCTCTGTTGGCTTCCCAAACCCAACGGAACAAGGATTCTGATCGGGTGGTGGCCATTCGAAGAGCGAGAGTGTAGGCATTGGGAGTGGTGTTATAAAAAGCGAGTTGAAAGGGTGCGGTGCCAATGCTTAGAACACGGTAGTTGCCATCGTATTCGACGATGAAAGGCCCGAATTCTCCTTCGTTGACGAATCTGAAAGTTTCAGAAGGAGGAACAACAGATTGAGCAATGCAAGAAAAGGCTGATAAAAACAAAAGAAAAAGAAATGAGCCAGCCAAGGAAGAAGAAGAAGAAGAAGAAGAAGAAGAAGAAGAAGAAGAAGAAGAAGACATGTTTTGATGAGGATATGAAATGCAAGATGCAGTGAGGAGTGGATTGTGGGGGAAATGGAGTTGCAGCCATATTTATAGTGGCCAGATCCTGGATGTTTCAATACGACGACGTGTGTATAAATTATTTGTGTTGATCTATAATGTGATGCAAAATTGACCTGATCTGATATGGTCAAATTTTTTTTTATATTTTAATTTATCATCAGAAACCTGTATAACAGGCTTGACCCATAAAGCACATGGTGTCATTTTGTTGTTTTTTAAAAAAAAATTAGAAGCACGTTTTTATAAATAATTATTTATTATTTTAATTGTTTAAATAAATTTTAATTAAAAATAAATAGTTAAAAATGCTTTACCTATATAACTTTATTATAAAAAATTAAATTAATT